CAGCCCCATGTATACAAATTTTCTCCCTTCTACCGCTAATCGTTTTTAAGCTATTCCAGATACATACATACCTATACACGTCACAAAAAATATCCCTTTTTAATCATCCGTTTGAAAAGAAATAGTCCATTATCCTGTTCGTACTGCCCGCGGGGAAAAAAGTGGGTGGGCAGTATCGCTTGTTCTACTGAGTCGATTGAAGAAATTCAACTTGCATTTTCCATGTCTCGAAAGCGTCATGGTGGACGTGATTAACCACTATCGTTGAGCACAGTGTCCACGTCCCCTGTCACTTGTCTCGAAAGCGTGACTTAGGATATGTATAGATTTATATATAGCATTATTCTAGTATAGGTATTCTGACACAAAATCGGACTTTTTCTGAAATGACATGCCGCTTTTTTCCATATTTCGATTTTACGTCTCAAATTATGCCAAACTGCCAAGTTTTATAAAAATCGTACCAGTAGGTTTTATAAAATTAGCCCACAAAATTTTAGCTCCTCAATGTTAATTGAGATTGATATATGTTTATAAATATCTCTTTTTTTATTAAATTTATTTGATTCTTCCTTTCACATTTCGAAGTTTAATTTCATTCCAAACAAGATTCGCCCATTTTTCATGATTTATTTTTAAAATTTGTATTGTTAATTGAATTTGTTATAAAATTTTTACCATCATTATAAAGTAGATGTATTTCTAAGTATACCGGAAAAAATTAGAATATTTTATTCAAAATTTCCAAAAAAAGATATATATGAATTTATATATTTTCGCGTTTTGAAATGTGGCATATTTGTTTAAAGCGATAATAACATCAATTGTGGCTTAGGCTCTTTGTTAAAATTATTTGAAAGTAAGAATGATGTGACATTTTTTTCCGCTCAATCCACAAAGTAAAACGTTAAGAACAATGTGACTTTCTTTCGTTCCTACACAATGGAAGGGAAAGGAAAATTGATTGCCATATGCTAAGAACTTCGCTAAGTAAATTATTCTTGGAGGAAACTGAAAAAAAAATTCCGTAAATTTTGCAAAATTTAATTTTTCCGTAAATTTTGCAAAATTTAATATTTAGGCATAATTGGGATCGTAGAATCGAAATATGGAAAAATGTTGGTATGTTATTTCAGTAAAAAGTCCCATTTTGTGTGAAAATACCAATGTTGAGCAATGCTATGTATAAATCTAATATATATTCAAAGTCGCGCTTTCGAGACATGAAAAATGAAGTTTGAATTTCGTCAATCGGCCCAGTAGAACGGAAGATATAAAACTCTGTGTATTTATAGTGTAAGTCATAAATATTGTTACATATTTGATAACATAGCGCGATAACGCCATTATGGCTAAGAGAAATGGAATGACGTCAATAGAAAGTGAAGGCTTGCAATCAAAGAAATGTACAACAATATCAGCTAGGCTTAGTTTATTATTTCAAAATGTTCGCCGTTTCGAACGCTTAAAATGTCGACAGATGTTACTGTATCAATGTCACTGCAAATAATTTCGTGAGATATTCTGTCTTTTAAATTTCACATTATAAGCGGGCATTTTCTCTACATTTCCATAGCTGAGGGTAACAATATTCCATTAAACTCATGAATATTCGGTCTTATGAGGTTGCCCTCATTCAGAGTATTATCGATTACTAGATAGAGCCAAATGCAACATAAGCGAATTCAAATACAAACGCATATATTGTTGCTGCATGGTCAGCTCCATTTTGTCAGTTCATATAAGAACAGAAATGTAACTCGCATTTCAAATGAAAAAATAAGTTTTCAGTTAAATATATCATTTACTATTTTCTTTCGCAAAATGCTATAGTAAGAAATAAAATTTACCAGTCATGTAAGCACGTTTCTGACTCATAATATGCGTTAATATTTTCGACCAAAACTTCCTTCAGTTGTTAATCTATTATTCAAAAGTATGCTTTTAAATTTATTCCCTATTATTCATTTTGAATTTTGCTTAACGATTCAATTATGGGTAGTTTAATTTACTGTTCTATTAGTGAAAATAAGCATCAAATTATTTAGTTCAGAAAATTACTCTGCAGATTATAACATTTCAGTTAATCTGAACAAATAGTGGTATATTAATTAATATAGCAATTTCTACGAAATATTTTTCTAATTAATCCGTACTTTATTACAAAATGTAAAAATTAGGAACCTGAATATTACATGAAAATATGATTTTTATTTCTTTACATTTTTAAGTCGAGAGGGAATCAACGATTGGTTTAATTTTTTCTAAAAAAAAAAAAAAAAAAAAACGAGAATCTTTATAAGATTGTTTTAGCCATCCATTAAATAATGAGGAAAATACGACCACATTTATCATTGTGACAAAGTACTTTCTGGGAATTATGAATATCTAAATAATGATTAATCGATTCCTTCGTTTCTTTTTAAACGTTTTTGCATACTAAATTTCTCATTTCTTTCAAAATGCTTTAACACATTTTTTTTGTATTTATATTATAAGTAACTTCTATAATTACCATGATTTACCAAATTAAGAATTTATTCGCTCATAAGCAGTCATTTATTTTCATTTCTTTCTGTTCTGTTGAAATTTTAAGTTTCAAGACATATTTTTCAGCCCATCTGTAATTAAAATTATGTTTATCACTACAGTTGCCTTTCTTCTCATATTCACCTAATTATGTTTTAAAGAATGAATTAGAAATATGGCTTCATACTTCATTGTTACGTGACATTATTATTACATGACATTATTATGGCTAAGGGTAAGGAAAAAAAAACTCACTCAAAAGTCGAATATTTGAATTTACGAAATATACACAAGACTATAGAAAATATCTTACATGGAATTTCAAAACAATAGTTAACTATCAAATATTTCATTACTTCCCCTAAACGCGAAAATCTGAAAACTATACTCAAGAAATCGATTGCAAATGTTTGGTAAGTGTTTAAGACCGCTGAATACAGGTAATTCGACCGGATTTGGGTTCTTCATAAAGACATCCTTCATCTTAAGCAGATAACCATCGTGACTTCGCCAAATACAAATATCCGAACCTATTTGGCAAGTGCTTTCTTTTGATAAAAAATAAAACATTCTTTACCCAGTATTGCCCTTAATTTATCGCCTGAAAAATGCAGCTCTTTTTGTTGTTGGAAAAGGTAAAGTAACTAAGAAGATCAATGAAAGTGAAAACAGCAAAATTTTAAAACTGAGCTTTAGTTGGAATTATAATGGAAAGCTTTGATTCTATCTTCCTTTCTTGCCGTTGTGGTTATCAGTATGGTTATCAGCGAAACCTGTACACCAAGCTTCATATTGCTATACTGTGCCGAAGGTACATAAACATTTATGTAAAGCTGGTCATTGTTGAAAACACGGAAATCTTCATTAAAGGTGCATAAAGCTGCCCTGACCGTTATGAAGACCAGATTCTAAACGGTAAAAAGCAAAATTGGAAGTTGCGGTTTATATCAGAACAACCTGAGTGCAACTAATGTTTTAATTTGCTATTTTTATTTTGTAAGGCAATGAAAATTCTAATTGCCTACCTGCGTCCTGGCATAAAGGGGCTGAAACCTTGATGGACCTTACACTTGGCAAGCTAGAAACTGATCGTCATTTATCCCAACATACTCTATGAAGGTATTTAATGGTGACCGAGCTGCGTAAAAGTCTCAGCACAAGTCCTTTAGGTTAGTACAACCTTATAATGCGCTTCACTGTGTTAATGGATTAGTGTTTAAATCTCGAAGAAGGACGCTGTATTGTAGAGTATTTATAGCACGGATTATTAGGTGAGCTTTACTTTTCTCTCTCATTATGATAAAAATTGTGCTAAATCTACGAAGAAAATATAGTGTTGTAATTGAATCCAATCTTCCTATATCATTTAACTTAACAGCAATTAAATAAAAAATCAGATGTGGACATATGACATCCTTGTATGCCTATTAAATTAACCACATTTTTGTTGCAATTCATTTAAACTTATTTCAGCCAATTATTCTAATTTAATTAACAATGATATAAAATATTGCAAATATTGAACATTTCTCATATGGCATTCAAACTTCTTGCATTTCGTAACGATTATAAAATTTTCCTAAATATAAATATAGAAATGAGAAACCACATTAAAAGCTAGATTTCGTTATTTCCCTCGATTATTATTTTTTTCGTTATTTAATGAACTTTTACAATTTTAAGCGTATGACTAACAACAGCAAAGGTAAAGGACATGTAGGGGTGTCTACGTATATATATAAGTCCAAAAGTTATATATATATATATCGCATATCTTAAATACGATTATACGTAGAAAGGGGAAATTTAGTATATTGGAATGCTACAACATCTAACTGTGCAACTCCATTTTCTATTGCAATCGACGGTACCCAACTTATACATGTATGTAAGACATAAAAGATATGATGAAATGTACTAACAAATTCAAAGTAATTGAGACAAATTGAAAAATAGAGCTATAAATTACTAATTTTTAATTAAAGTACAACCCTTGACAGCATCTGCGTTTTCCCTGCAATAATCACAGTGGGAAATCTTTTCGCCCTGTTGTTGCTCAGCATTAAAACTAAGGCTTTCCAAGTTTATAAACTACGCATTTTCACAGCTAACTACGAATTTTCTTTCACCAGTTTGCCTTACTGCTGGTAAATTGTCGTTAAGCTCCTATTCTCCCTTAAGTAAAATATAAACTCTGTATAAAAAATTGTGAAGCGTGTTTAGTGTCTCTAGAGTTCAACGAATTAATGAAATATATGTTAACGAATTCATTATCCAAAAGTGAATGATGTTTAACTGCGAAGGTGGTCGTGATTCTTCCAAAATTCTCTTTCGTCATTCAGTAAACCGCAATTTCCAGTAATCAACTCAGCAGTTCTTTTTCGGCCATGACTAAAAAGTGAATTGATGCGTTCCCTAATGAAACTGCACTAAAATGAAGTCATCTACAACATATCGAGGTATATATATATATATGCTTCGGCAGTACTTATACTAAAATTGGAACGATACAGAGAGAATTAGCATGGCCCGTGCGCAAGGCTGACACATACTCACTTCCCACTACCAGTCTTAAAATTCTTTACCTGACTTTTATTTTCTCTGTCGTTGGTCGTAATTTCATACTTTGACTTACAGATGTGTTTTTTTTTTTAAATTCTATATATATAAAATATTATTGTTTGACAATGTCTGATTTTAAAAAATAAACAGGAAAACTTCCGTATAATAATTTGACTCCCGTAGGACAAAAATTGACCGAGATATTAAATATTAAATTTTCAAATTTTTGATGTCATTTTCAACTTGCCTTGATGGACTGGTTAATTGAGTTAGAATAATTCGATAAAATAAACATAAATAAAGTAAAGCAAAAAATGTGTATAATTTAATAATTTGTACAAAGAATCACGTGATGTCCAAATCAGATTTCGGCTAATCTTTGGAATATGGTAACAGGTAGTTTGGCGACATTTTGGTAAGGCGATAAAGGTTTTAGCAGTGTATATGGATAAAGTCAAGAGTGTGCGCAATGCCATTTTTGTGCAATTCTGGGATTTTTTATAAGTGAAAATAGGTCGACGTGTACATGGTACCGTGTATGTGCAATTCTTAAAAACGCGGCAAGCAGTTTGCGATCCTGCACTTTCTTCCAATTTCGCACCTAAACTTCTTCATGATTAAGCACTTCTGTTCCATAAACGTTCTAGCATAAGCGTGATTCGGCTAGCAGATTGTTGGGAAAAAAAATGTTGAGTAAAAAAAAAAAAAAAAAAAAAAAAAAAAAAAAAAAAAAAAAAAAAAAAAAAAAGTCTTTACTCCGTGAAAACAAAATGGCGTCCAAACAAAAACTAGCAGGTTGCTTTAGGAGGGTTGGTTCCAAATTTTCGCCAAAAAATCGCCAAGTTACCATAATCCAAAGATTAACCCAGATTTCTTTATTTATATTCATGAATTAAAACTAATTACTTAATCTAGAATTAAAAGTTTGACAGCATTCTCTTCTTTAAAACTATGAAATTCCAAACCAGTCGGAAAATCCTTACTGGTTCACAACCCCTGCCATATATGGTTATTAGTTCATATCTCAACATATCTCGAACTACGTCTCTAAGACACTTCAAACTGCACTTTTATGCTTAACTCTTCCACTTAGCAAAAGTTAATATACCTTTTTAAAAATGTCAGATTTTACAATTTTTATCTATCGAACTTCAAATACTAGCTTATATTAAGATTTAACAAAAACATCCCACAACCCTCCACTAATTATAACAGCCTTAATGAAGTCATCACTTCTTTCCAGGATTGTTTCATCGCAGTAGAGCATTTGTATCATATGTATGACTGGAAAAACAATATATAGGTAGTTGTCTCGAACATGACAGGTCGTATGGTTCTGAAACAAAGAAAGAAACCAGATCTGCTGAAAACATCGATGGCTTTATCTCGGGTAACGCTCCCTAATATATCTTCTGTTCTTGCCAACTCGAATAAAAAGGAAAGTCGATAAGAAGCCAAATCTGGAAATCTGCCGCCAACAAATAGTCCGATCAGGACTGCAGGAAAAGAAAAATTCGACAGTTCCATAAATCACAGGATTTAGTATCTTCGAATATATTCCGGGTCGCTTCTTTGGTGATAGCTATGCCTATGTCGGCTGATTTAGGAACTGGCTTTTGCTGAACAACCAGCAACCTTTCTCAATTTTTTACAATCTTTATACTCGTATTTATCGTAACAATGAAATATATATCATCAGAATTCTAAGACAGAAATATTGTGATATTTGAACTTAATAGGGTTCTTATTGTATCTTCGATCCGTCATAACGAAAAAAAGCATCATACGTTTGTCAAAGAAATACATGATGGGCTTCGTAAAAGATACGTAGCAGTGACATTTTAAAATACACAAGAATGCGATTTTTTTGTTATAAAACTTCAACGCATATTGCCAGAAAATATTTTACTATTATTGAAAACGATGGCATGATGTTACTTGATCTTAATAAGGTTAGCAAGGGGAAAGTAATAGCTATTAAAAGGCAAACAGAAGAGATAAGAATAATTAAACACAATTTAACTTTTAAAATATACAGTCTAAAGATAATTTAATTCATAAACTGTAATAGAAACTCATCCATGCTGCCTCAGAAACTCGTCAGTTCGAAATTACGTCACATTTCGTCCTCAAAATTAGGCCCACCAGCGGCCGAGCGGTAAAGACGCTGAACACTGGTAGTTCGGTCCGGATTCGAATCCCGCGAACGGGTTGCCTGCATGGGCGTTTTTGTGGTTTTCCCCGTTTGTAACGTATATGCGTGTCAGTTCCCTTAGAAAGTCCTCCACGAAGCCATCCCTCCCTTTGGGCAGATAGCCCTCGTGTGCTTTGCCATATTTAAATAATCCAATCCGTCCGCAAAATTAACGTGTAATTTCTTTATTATAAAATTTATTTAAATTTTAGCTTTAATACTGCCTGGAACAGTAAGAAATTCTGACACGCATTTGCTCCTATATGTTTACTCTATATATTTATCTGAATTATTGAATATATGGAACAAATCAGTGACGGTTTCATTTTCAAGCCCCTAACTTTCAAATAAATAAAATGGCAGAGCTTTTTCTTAAGATAATAATTTCTTTTAACAAGTGACGCAGAATTATTTCTGTAAACAGAGTTAACATACTATACCATTGATAGCACTAGGTGTATTATTGATAGAAATTACCGCTAATTAAAGATAAGTTTCATAAATTAAGTTTGCCTAAAATGGTAAGCTTACAAGCGGTAGAACGGTTAAATCGCTGAATACTGGTAGTTCTGACCTGGATTCGATCCCAGGCGAATAGGATGGCTGCATGGGCGTTTGTTCCTCATGTGTGATGTGTGTAAGAGCCAGTTTCCCTTAAGTCCTCCACGAAGGCATTTCTCTCCTTAGGCAGATAGCCGTAGTATGCTTTTTTGCAATCTCAATAAACCAAACCTGAAAGGTAATACACAGTTTCAGTCAATTCTGATCCTCTGCAGAAGTGTTCATCTTAGAAGTTATTTTCAGTGTGGATGTTTCCACCATATCGAATACGTTCCGAAACGAATGGGTTTGTCAATTGGCATTTTCTCCAAATGTGACATGAATACCAATTAGTTTTTGCTATAATGTGCTCCCGAAAGCCCCTGTTGCTTTATGTAAATAATTTGCTTTTCTTCAATCAATTAATCGACCATTCAGCCCGGATGTTTACGTTCTCAGAACTACAAGTATGTTCATCTACTGTTAGAGGGGGATATAAAAAATTTTGTAATGTATCTTCAGCCATGATTTAATTCTGCTACATGACAGAAGGGTTCAAAATTATATGTATGATATTGGAAAGAAATGTATGTAATGCATTTATCGACCTAAAATTATGTATATGTTGATTTAGTAGCTGTAGCATATATATAATTGCTAACACATTTCATCAATAACAGATGCCTATATTGCAAATGTCCGTTTTATTTTAGTAGACCATATGTCACTGTCATTTTATTCATCATGTACTATGAACTTACATTTCTAAAGATATTTACGGCGTATAACATATTTGTAACATATTATATTTACAGCATGTAACGTATTTGTAAATAATAGTATCTGATTTTCATTTATAAATTAATAAAACTGTGCTTGAAATTTTATAACAAGAGAGTGAATTATTATTTTTTATCATTTTATCCTATTTAAATTAAAAATTGCGTAATGTGAAATTTCAATTCAACAATAAATTTTTAAAGGAATTCATGTTTTCTTTTTCCTTGTTAAAGAGCTGCTAAATGCTGAACGGGCAAAACACAAATTATCAATTAAAATTAATAAATTATCATTTATCAATTAATGCGTCATATTTATTTTTTTTTAATTTACTGGAAGACAGGTAACAGATGTGTTAGTAAATTACATTGTTGATGTTTTATTTACTTAAGTTTTGAATACTTATAGTATTCCAGCGCAGCAATAAAATTGTAAATCGATTCATGTTTTCCGTTATCTTTTCAAACATTGGTGAAAGGCAAATGGAATATAAATTAATTAATCATATTTTATAATTTACGAAAGAATTGTTAAAAAGTTACCTTTAAGTATGCATTAGTTACTATTGCACTCATCTATATATTTCGACCCTTTTAAATTAAAACTTAAAGATAAATGACATAAAACTTTGTTAAATCTATCAACAATTGCCATTTTTTAACGAACAGCAGCAGCAAAAGAATTGAAATAACTAGTAAAACTGCAACCTTCTGAAGAAAATCCATAGAAGATTTCGTTTAAGGTTTGCTTGTGGATGAAGAATTGTTGGTTACGACGCGTGTTTTACTGTTGCTCGTATTCCACTCACAGATATTCGAATTTTAACCAATATTGCGAAGAAGGAAAGAATTTGTTAACAATTCCCATCAAATTTTCTTGACGGTAATTTTCCAATTTCTTCTTTGCTGCATCCTCTCAACCAGAACTTTCTACCAGTTTTTGTTCCGGTGCGATTTTTAAGAGTACAAATTAATTTATTTTCCAGACGGGTAACATGAATGATAAAGCTGCTCTTGCTTTTGTTGTTTATGAAGAAAAACAAGAAAGAGGCTTCAGACACTTAAGAATAAGTATTATGTTTTTCAGGGTTAGCTGCTACGCTTAAGCCTTCTTGTGAAATGGATTCAAAATTCTTGTAGTGGTTTGAGATCAATGCGCGTTTTAATATGTAGCGATTCACTTTCTTCGCTATAATTATTACAGAAAATTAGTGTTTCACAGAAACTTGCTGTTAAAATTTAGGTTATTATTAAGATATTACAAGACCTTTAAACTGACATTCATTTTGCTTATGCGCTGTAGAAATTTTGGAAACGAAAGAGTTGATGATTTAAAAAAGCTAGCCACGAAAAGCGTTACGTTTATTTAAATTTCTGTGTTTCTGTTTCTCACTAAAAGAATTTTTGTATGCTATCTATATTTCGAAGAGAGAAAACCAGGCGTCATTAGAATCACAACTGTTAAAAATTTTTCCTACAATTTTTCACAGAATAAAAATTGTTCAGT